CTCAACTTTTTTTTTCTTTTGAGTTGGAGTCTCACTCCGTCCCCTAGACTGGAGTGCAGTGGCCCACTCCCGGCCACCGCAGCCTCGACCTGCCAGGCTCCAGTGATCCTTCCGCGTCAGCCTTCCAAGTAGCCAGAACTACAGGTGCGTGCTACCACGCCCGGCTCATTTGTGACTTATTGTAGAGACAAGGTCTTGCCAGGTTGCCTGAGTGGGTCTCGAACCCGTGGGGCTCAGGCAATCCACTCGCCTCGACCTCCCAAAGTGCTGGGATTACAAGCTGAGCCACTGAGCCCAGCTGAGACCTCAACTTAAAAAAAAAAATAGTGTGTTTTATTTTAAATAATTAAAAAATTCCAGTTGGTCATTAGAATGTTCACTGCTAGTCTTTTCTTTTTTAGTTATTTACATTTTCCAACTGCAGTTGGTATTGAAAACATGGACTATACATTAGAATAAACTAGTCTGGGTGCTGTCTGCACACCCTCACACCATCTCTGCTGGTGACTGCTTAAGTGTTCCCTGTTTTTACCACCAGCAGACGTGGGAAGTGTTGGCATTTCTGGATATTTCTTACCTGGAACACAAGTTGATGGCCTACCCAAAGAAAAGGGCTGTGGGTCACCGAAAAGAGACATGATTCACTGCTTCTTTCGGGAGCTGTGGATGGGAAGACAGAGGCCCCAAAGCGAGCCAGCGTGTTTGCGTGGTAACCCTCCTTTTGCTTTTAGAGGATAGCCAGTTGGATACGCAAAGGACTTGGCGTCTGTATTTATTAGAAGTCTATGATGATCATTGCTTCTGAAATACGTAATGGCTAAAGGCAGTCAGTTAGGAATTATGTTATTTAATCAAGGGTCTCTAGCCACATCTGTGTCCTGGGCCCGGGAGCCATAAGCCCCAGGCAGCATGGGCCTGCCTCTCAGGGACACGGCCTCTCCTGTCACAGGAGAGAAGTGCTGGGTGTGAGAACCGCCCCGTGTGGGTTTATTAGTTTAATGCCTTTTTTAAGATGACAAATGAGAATGCCACCAGCGAGTAAAATCAGCTCAGAAAATTCAGCCTGTTTTTCTTATCTGCCAAGTTTATGTTTCCTCGTGAATAAAAGGATCTTCCCACAACAGGGACATTTATTTTTTCTCTTCAAGCAAAAGCGTAACAGGAACATGAAGGACTTTCCCCATTTCTGAGGGTGAAAGTGGCATGGTAAACCCTCGGCTCCCGTCAGGCCACACTGTCCCCTGCCCGTGGCTGCGGGGTGTGTGTGACGTGGAATTCCTCTGAGGATGTGTCGGGGTGTAGGCTGTGTCCTTCCAGAGGTGTGTCTCTGCTGATGCCACAGAGCAGCCGGTGTGGTGTCGAGTGACGCCTGCCCTGCGCGCCTAGTCTAGGCCACGCAGACACAGAGGTGAGCTCGCCATCCCCCGCGCGTCCCCAGGGACTTGAGCTGTAGGTGGGGAAGCTGGCAGGAAGAGGGAGAGTAAGCAGATGGAACCACTGCAGCAGCGGTGAAGCGCTGTGAAGAGCGTAAAACAGGGAGCTATGGCAGAGAGGTTGGGGGCCACTTAGGTATCACAGCGGTGATTTCCTTCCATAACCAGTCAGTATCAAAGTGGCTATGGGCAGAATGACAGTTTGATGCCCCTGTTCGTAAAAATGAAATGCTTGAAACGAAAGTGTTGGCCGAACGCGGTGGCGCACCCCAGCAAGCACTCTGGGAGCCCGAGATGAGAGGTATCGCTTGAGCCCAGGAGTTCCAGACCAGCCCAGGCAACATAGCGAGACCTCATCTCTACAAAAAAAAGTTTTAAAAATTAGCTGAGTGTGGTGGCACCTGCTGGTAGTCCCAGCTACTCAGGGAGCTGAGGCGGGAGGATTGCCTGAGCCCAGAAGGTTGAGGCTGTGGTGAGCCATGAACGTGCCACTGTCCTCAGCCCTCCAGCGACAGAGTGAGGCTGAAAAAACAAACAAAAAACTTAACTAAAACGTTGCTCCTTCTCAAGAATCTGGGCTTTTTTTTTTTTTGAGTTGGAGTCTCACTCTGTCGCCCAGACTGGAGTGCAGTGGCCGCTCCTGGCCACCGCAGCCTCGACCTGCTGGGCTCCGGCGATCCTTCCGCCTCAGCCTTCCGAGTAGCTGGAACTACAGGTGCATGCTACCACGCCCGGCTGATTTTTTATTTATTGTAGAGATGAAGTCTCGCCAAGTTGCCCAGGCGGGTCTCGAACCTGCGGGCTCAGGCCATTCACTCACCTCAGCCTCCCAAAGTGCAGGATTACAGGCTGAGCCACCGAGTCCGGCGAATCCAGGCTTTTTGAGAGCAGAAGGCCCCCGCCTGTCAGGCTAGCGCCACGCCCCTGTCCCCTGACTGCGTGCCCGGCCCAGACCAGGACCCACACGTGCCCCGAGTAACCTGCTTGGGTCCCGTGGTGTTAGGACTCGCCTATTACTGCGGCTCAGTGATTGATTCCCCTCATCGACAGATTTCAGGTCAGATCCTGACGCTCACTGGCTGCTGTGGGCCCTTAGACAAGTAGCGGGATTATCGCTAAGGCCCAATCTCCCCCCTCTGAAACGGCTTGCTGTGCGGGTTAAACGCGGGATGCGCCCTGAATATGCCAGGGCCAGCTCAGTGCATGGTGATTACCCTAAGGGCGGCTTATGGCGTTTCCCGGTGTCGGAGGGTTTCTCTGAGGGAGGTTTGAGCGGCATGCCCCTGGTGCCAGAAAAGGAGAGCGAGCGAGGAACATGGAGGTCAGGGGTGACCCTCGCAGGGGAAGGCCAAGGGCGGCCACAGTCCCCCGCCGGGCAGACTCCCCCCGGGACGGCAGTGTCCTCGAAGGCCTTCAGATGTGGAGGCAGCGGGGACCCGTGGGGGAGGGTCAGGGCCCCACCCGCCGGGTCTCCTTTCCTGGGGGCCGGCTGGCATGTTGAATGCGCTTTCTTTTTTAAATGCAGATTTTTTATTTTAAAATTGTGGGGTACAGTTAAGGGTTAGGTATACAGATATGCGTCGTGCAGGCACCCTTGTGGATGAGGTGTGCCCCCGCCCCGTCCCCAGACAGATATCGACTACTGTTAACTCCACCTCCCTTCCCCTCCCTCCCCCCCCATAGTTTCCCGCCACTGTCAATCTTTTTCTTACGGTATACGGTAGTTGTTCAAGGTCCACTTACGAGTGACAACATGTGATACTCAGATCTTTGTTTCTGTGAGAGATCGCTCAGGATTATAAACTCTAATTCCATCCAGTAAGTTTTACCTTTTTGAATGTGTACGGTAAAACAAACAAACAAAAAACTTGCCTCCTCACAATTCCATGCCAGCATTAGCACTGCCATGAGCTTTGGTCTGAAAAGAGACTTTGCCCTTCCAAAGAATCTGACGTCTTGGCATCCTCAGTCCTTTGGATAAGTTGGAGTCATAAATGTCCGGAGCGTTTGTTGGCCGAAGGCCCTTTCGCAGGATGCAGTCGTTGCCGGCCGGTTCTGGCGTCGCACGGCTAATGACTGTGGCCCCCGGCGGCTCACATAGGGCCAGGTGTCCGGGCAAGAAGTCCATGCCCCTGGCTCGCTTCAGAGGCTCCTTTCTCTCCCTCAACAGAATGCGGTGGTGTCGTTCAAGGAGCTGTGTGGCCTCTCGTCCGTGGCCAACCTCATGCAGTGCATGCTGGCGGTGGCCCCCCGCTTCCTGGGGCCCGATAACTCGCCCCTGGTGGTCCTGAATCTCAGCGAGCAGTACCCCACCATGGAGCTGCAGGGCATCGTGCCGGAGGTGCTGAAGAAGATCGTGACCACGTACGACACGGTGAGCCATCCCCTGTCCTCGCGTGTGGCCGGGGCGGGCGAGAGTCTGGGAGGCCCCGCAGCACGCGGACCCGGGCGCTGTGACTGGTGTGTGTGCTCCTGTCCATGCTGCGTGTGCAATGTGGGGCACGGGATGCCCCTGGCCCTGCTGAGTGTGGGGGCACTAGCGTGTTCACGCGCGCCTCGGCTGGCGTGGACGTACTTGGCTTCTCTGAAGCTGCATCTGGATGGTCCCCAGGAAGCATGTTGTCCGTGCATATATCAGCAGGACTTGCTATATCTTCTCCGGCAAGCAGTCATCAGTTATGCGTTTTTATTTTATTTTTGTTTTTCAAACTGGCATGGGGGGAAATTTCATTTTAAAAGACTGTTTGCTGCGTTGAGGGCCAAGTGAGGCACGGTGGCGTCCTTCCCTGCCGCAGTCGCTCGGTGACACCCTGTGACACCAACGAGGCATCCTCGGGACACCGCGAATGTCACATTTTCCCACTTAAGGTTTGCCTTGTGTTTTCTTAATCACATCCTGCTCTTATTGGACTTTTTTGATTTGTCATGACTCTAAGAGAGAATCCAGTGGGCGACCCACACGCGTGTCAAGTTCACGGCATGGTTGTGCTGTCAGAGCCGCTGTGTGTGCTGGGGTAACCGGTGACGGCGCACCCCAGCAGGGCGAAGGGTGGTGTTGGGCGCTCCGCTGTGGTGGGCCAGGCTGCTGTCCGCGCTGTCAGAGCCTGTGAGGTGACTGCCTCATCTGCGACAAGCTAGGTCGCCACACACGCGGTCTCTTCTGGCATAGCTTGCTGTGCTCAGGGACAAAACAGAGTTGACATCGTATCCCTAAACAGAAATGTCTCTGACTGTCTTAGAAGTCAGTCTGAAAGCTGCAGATTAGAGGGATATATGCAGTTCCTGGGAGATTAAAAACCCCTCAGGCCAGCATCTGACACACTGTGCCCCGAGGAACCGTGATTTCTTGGGACATCAGTGAATGTCACTTGAGGGAGGAGTTCCATGACAGAATGACTCAGGGTGATGCTGGTTTGAACCAGGTGAGTCAGACGTCTGCACTGCAGGACTTCTCAGGGCCTTTCGTGGCTGGCACGGTGAGTTCCGAGGGGGAGGCTGATGGGGGTTTCCCAGCAGCACAGACTGACTGGCTGACGGAGCTGTTTCCACAAGCCGAAGCTCTCAAGGACAGTTTTGGAAAGGGCTTCTAAAGCCCTTGGGTGAACAAGTCTGGAAGCCTGAGTCAGGAGAAGGCAATGCCCTAGACAGCTTTATTCCTTCCCTTAAAAGTGACATTGGAACCATTTCCCAGAATCCCGCGAGGTGGCCACACATTGCAGCGTATGTCATTCCCATCCTAGAGTTCGTGGTGACGCAGGAGAGACGGGACTGAACGCAGGACACTGTGGGCACCCTGCAGAGAGTGGCAGCTCCTCAGAATGGAGGCATGCCCAGTGTGTGTGTCCCACAGGCCCGGGGTGACACACGGTGTGGGCACCAAGGAGTTCCAAAGACAGATGCATACCCCATCCTCTGGGAGCTCCCTGACACCGGGAGGTGAAAGGGGCCAGGAACAGAATTGTTGGAGGGAGCATGCCCTGGGATTCCTGCTGGGGGGCGGGGAGGAGTGGAAACACGGAGAAAGGTATAAAAAGAAAAGGCATGAAAACCCTTCGCTTGCGGTGCCCCAGACTACCTGGACAGATCTCAACTCATTCGGTTTTTGGGGAGAAGCCAGAAGAGGTAACTGATGTTCATCTGTGCTTTTAAAGCTTAAGCCCCCAATAAAACCACAGCTTGCATCGTTGACCAAAACCCGACCCGAGTTACCCCTTGGATACTTTGCCGGTTTCCGTGGCAGCCACACCATGGCCATCTTCATGGCAGGCTTTCTGCAGGGACTTCCCCAGCGGGGGGTGGTCCCCATGTAAGTGATAGCATCAGGCTGTGGCAGCCTGAGCCCGAGTGATGACTGACCTGCCAGGAGTGTGATCATGGCCGGGTCCCAGGGTCTGTATGGAAGACCCTGAGAGACGCTGATGAGTAGCGTGGCTTCCCGTGGTGGTATTTGGCACTGGTCACTCAGGGCTCCTTTGTCCTCTGCCCCTTCCTCTTCTGGACTGGTGGACGACAGCCCTTAGCACGTGCCTCACCTTTGCATCTAAACTTGTAGCTATGTTGTTGTAGAAGGGATAAGACAGACTGGATTCACTTGCTTAAACTTTTTAAATTATAGAATAACTTTTTTGCCGGGCAAGGTGGCTCATGCCTGTGATCCCAGCATCTCAGGAGGCTGAGCGGGGAAGATTGCTGCAGCCCAGGAGTTCAAAACCAGCCCTGACAACAGTGTGAGACTTCATCTCTCCAAAAAAAAAAAAAAAGGATTAGCCAGGCATGGTGGCATGTGCCTGTAGTCCCAGCTACTTGAGAGGCTGAGGCAGGAGGATCGCTTGAGCCCAGGAGTTGGAGGCTATAGTGAGCTATGATTGCGCCATTGCACTTTAGCCTGGGTGACAGTGTGAGACAGTATCTCAAGAAAAAAAATTACCTCCGATAATGTATCATTGAAATAACTGTGCTGCATCACACCCCTAGATTTATCGATCTGTTCCATTTTTAATTCCAGTTGATAAACTAAGTTAATAAAATATTCAAAATTAAATTCAAGTTATGGCTGTAGCCACATGATGACTCTCGGAATACTTTACAGTCCTTTTTTAGTGACTTAATGGTTTCTTACCTGCGACAATTAGTTTGTTAAAGCCTGCCAGAAGACTGGATTAAATATTGATGGGTGTAATGTACTGAAGGTCTGGGACTGGCTGGAACGTGAAACACAGCTCTTTATTTTTGTAATGTTATGTTGAACCTGACCCAACATTAACCTTAGAAACAAGATCTTATTTCATCTTGTGGACTTCCCATTTATAATGTGAGGACTTAGATGAGAATGAAGGGTGGGCTGAGACGTTCCCTCCAGACCCACGGTGTCGCCGCCAGTCTTCCCCGCGGAAGCCCGTCCTCCTGCGAGGATGGTACCGTGGCACCTACTGAAAGTGCACAGGTGGGTATTTACACTCGAGGTTGTGATTACTTTTCAGTTTCTAGGCTCTGTGCATAAAATAGGGTGCCAGAAACGGGCCACTTTCTCTGTAAAACGAAGGATGCAGATACCGTCCTGGTGACTCCCATGATCACCACCAGCACACAGACCTTCACAGCTGCCAGGTAGCTCTGGCAAGTAGCGGGGTAGGAGCCCAGGCCCAACCCAGGAAAAAGGCACCAAAGCCATTCGCAAATGGAGGAGGAAGAGCCGTCCACCTGCCTCTTAGACTTGGAAGATGAAGGGGGTTTGAAAACAGGGCCTGGCCTGGGGCGCACAGTGGATGTGGCCGAGTGTGGTCAGCATTGCAGGAGTCAGAACACATGTCTGGGTGGACCGTGCCTGCTGACATGTCTGGAGGCCTGGGGCAGGGAGATGACCCTGTTGCTCCTGATCGTGAGCCAGGCCAGGCCCTAGAGCTGTGTTGCCCTGGAACCCAGGCTGCAGAAGCTGCCCGGGCAAACCCAGGGAGGGAAATGGTGGGGCATGGGTGCCCTCCTGCTCACAGAGGCCTGCTGGGCAGCCCGGGCCTTTAAATAGGGTTTCCTTATCCCCACCAACCCAGTGTCCTTAAGTCTCTGTGTCACTTCAGGGGCTCAGCCTGTAAGAGCTCATCTGATGCCTCAGACAGCTTGCCTTCCCTGGATTTCTGGGCAGAAGTGCCCCTGGAGTCCCTCTGCCACCTGTCTAATTTTTGTCAACAGAGGGAAGCCGGCTTCTGTTATTAAGCTATGTGGCCCAGCTCCTGCCCAGTCCTCCATATTTATCACATTGCACTGGACAGCATGTGTATCATGATATTACCCACACAGACCAGAGTCACAGTGTTGTACAGAGGGGGACCCCAAAAATCCAGAATTTATTTATTTATTTTGAGTTGGAGTCTCACTCCGTGGCCCAGGCTGGAGTGCAGTGGCACGCTCCCGGCCACCGCAGCCTCGACCTGCTGGGCTCCGGCGATCCTTCCACCTCAGCCTTCCGAGTAGCTGGAACTACAGGCGCGCGCTACCACGCCCGGCTAATTTTTTGATTTATTGTAGAGACGAGGTCTCTTCAAGTTGCCCGGGCGGGTCTCGAACCCGCAGGCTCAGGCAATCTACTCACCTCAGCCTCCCAAAGCCTGGGATTACAGGCTGAGCCACCGAGCCCAGCTCAGAATTTATTTTTCTAAAAAATTGTTATTTCTTCCTACGTGTTCAGTCCCATTCAAAGGACAGTCCATTGGATGCACTTCACCTGTCGAGATGCTTTTTCCACTGCTCAGAACAGTTTTTGAACTCGTGAATTTTGATGCCTTTTGGTGCTGCTGCCGTTTTTTTGTTTCACCTCTTCCACATCGGCAAAATGTTTCCTTTGGGGACTTTTATTTCCCCACCAGGGAAACAACAATAAAAGTCGCCAGGGGTGAGACCCGGTGAGTAGGGAGGGTGGGTCTGAGGTCATACTGCTTTTGGTCAAAAACTGCTGAGCAGTCAGCATGGTGTGGGCAGGTGTGCTTGTAAATCACCCATAATGAAATGGTCACATGCATTGAAAGACTCTCCAAAAAGAAAAAAATCACTGGAGCTGAACGCAGCCTCTCACAACAATGCTCGCTGGCACACCGGTGCCCATGGGATCTCAGAACTCTCACCGAGTGGGGCAAGTCTGTACTATAGGGGCCCACCCTCCAAAAGATTCTGGTTTTTTAGGGGCTCTCTCCTTGTACTTTTATATGTAAATCCCTCATTTGCTTCCGTTAAGATGTTACTAGGCGCTTTGAAGTGGAATTTAGTAGAAATTCAACTGGTTTCTTTCAGCACAACAGATTTAAGGAATAAGCTGTTGTGTTTTAATGGTGGATTCAACACCTACCTATGTGCTGTTACCATGTACAAGGCACTGTTCACTCG